CGTCCGCGCCCTAAGTAAGACGATAAAATACATCTGTGTCCTGGGTAAGACGATAAACAACGTCCGCGTCCTGGGTAAGAATATAAACTACGTCCGCGCCCTAAGTAAGACGATAAAATTCATCTGTGTCCTGGGTAAGACGATAAACTACGTCCGCGTCCTGGGTAAGACGATAAACTACGTCCGCGTCCTGGGTAAGAATATAAACTACGTCCGCGCCCTAAGTAAGACGATAAAATACATCTGTGTCCTGGGTAAGACGATAAACTACGTCCGCGTCCTGGGTAAGAATATAAACTACGTCCGCGCCCTAAGTAAGACGATAAAATACATCTGTGTCCTGGGTAAGACGATAAACTACGTCCGCGTCCTGGGTAAGAATATAAACTACGTCCGCGCCCTAAGTAAGACGATAAAATACATCTGTGTCCTGGGTAAGACGATAAACTACGTCCGCGTCCTGGGTAAGAATATAAACTACGTCCGCGCCCTAAGTAAGACGATAAAATACATCTGTGTCCTGGGTAAGACGATAAACTACGTCCGCGTCCTGGGTAAGAATATAAACTACGTCCGCGCCCTAAGTAAGACGATAAAATTCATCTGTGTCCTGGGTAAGACGATAAACTACGTCCGCATCCTGGGTAAGACGATAAACTACGTCCAACAGCAAGGCCTCTGATAAGTAGGTTTTGAGGATCGTGGAACCACGTCTTAATTGCTGGTGTTTCCAGGTCTCTCCTGACCCAAAGTGATAGAACCTGTTAGTGTTCCAACTATGGGAAAATAGTTAACCACCAAACTGGTGTCAGAACACTATAAAAGTGTAAAAATAGGTTTTAATAGCAACAATAATTTTTTAGGAAAAATTATTACCAACAATTCATTATTACTAGAAATACATTTTTGAAGGAAAAAATATTAACAGAAATGCATTTTTGTAAATAATTATTAGCACCGATACATTATTACCAATAATATATTTCTGAAGAAAAAATATTACCAGCAATACATCCTTGGAAAAAATATTACCAGCAGTAAAAAACCTTCTCGACATTAAATAACCCATTGAGGTTTAACACAAAACAAACCAAACTATTTCTTACTGTGATAGACTGGTTAAAAACGAAGGCTACATGGTCCAGTTTTCTCGCCCAGCTATGGGTTAAATGGTAGAGCAGCTTGGGTCTAGCCTATGAGAAATTGGAAAGCTGCGATCGAATTCCAGTTGGAGTCATTACATCTACCTACCTGTAAATACCCTTGGGAAAGGTGTGAATGAATTCCTTATCTCTCAGCTATAGGTTGAATAGCAAGACAGAGATAGACTCACACCATTCCCAACGTTATTTGGAGGTAAATGAATGTAATAAACACGACTGGAATTCAGAATATAAAATATATTGTAGAACAGGTATATTGACCTTGACTTGTATAAAAATATATATGCTGTTGGCACACTGAATGATTTTAAAACCCTAAATTGACACATAGTTTCCAAAATGTTACCAACCCCGGATCTAAATTAGAAGATGTCTCCTTCCCAGATTTATTCATTATCTCCTAACTCAGGGTTCGGAGACCTACGGCACGCGTGGCACGCCATGCAATTTTCCTATGGCACGCAACCGCAAATGACAGGATGTCCGAACCAATAACGCTACAACGCAGATATTTCAAAACTGCTCACTCGCTGAACTTCCATTAAACTTTAAAAAAAAACTTTTAAAAACACTATTAATGTGGTTTACATATTATTGTATATATTACTATATAAAATATATTGTCGAACAGGTATATTGACCATGACTTGCATAAAAATACGTATGCTGTTGGCACACTGAATGATTTTAAAACCCTAAGTCAGCACATAGTTAGCAAAAGGTCAAACTACTGGTTTAGTAGGTATATAAATATCAGACGGGTTTTTTTTCCTACAACGGTGGATGCAGGTTCAAATCCTGACAGTGGGCATATTTGCTTTATTCTTTTTTCGAATGCTCAAACTGGTAGACGAAATAAACGCTGTTTACGAAACGAGTCTTTCTCCTGAAATACGGGTATGCACTAAAAAATAATGTTTGACGTAATACATTTTTAGCTCCATAATAGATTATTGTACTTTAACAAAAAAAAAAACTGTCTTTTATTATATTTTATTTGAAGGAATTTAAATTTTGACGATATAATGGTACAATATGAAAATACAATTTTATGAAATTATGGCAATATTAATATCTCAGAATCTTTAAAATTAGATATCCACAGAGAATAGGAAAATGAGATTTAATTGTAATTTACTTTGGGGGGGTGGATAAATAATGAGACCAAAATAAACAATTTCTTTCTTAACACATTGACATTGCAAAAACATTTTTTTAACTTTTCGCTATCAATAAGTACAATAAGAAACAAATATTTTCTAATAATCTTTCATTTTTGGAATTGAGAATTTGTTCCATTATAAGGTCAAGAGAATAATATATATTTTAGTAACTTATTGTACTAGTGCTGTGGGAAAATTGGTTGAAGAAGATGCTGATTCAGCTTAAAACTACTATCACTTATATTTAACTATTTCAAAAAAAGGGGGATACTTAAGCTTAAAATGCATTTTGGAAAAGGAAATATCGATATTGAATAAGTTATTTTAGTTTTAATTCCAAGCTAATAGATGCAATTTAATATTTCCAATAAGTAAAATATAGGGTGACCCCAAAAAAACGGGAACATTTTAACAATTCAATAAAACCAAAAGTGATGGAAGAAAAATATTTTATTCATAGTAATTGAAACCTTAAAACATGCCATTTAAGAAACAATGATGGAATTTTCATTTTTTAAAAATTACGTCCTGTAGATGGCGTCCTCCTGTACGAATGCATTCTTGAAATCTGCTGTTGAGATTCCTCATTGACTGCTGCAACATCTCAGCTGGGATACTGTGAATTTCATCTTGAATTCTTAATGGAGAAATGTTTACTTGCTCAAGGTCACTATCTCGCAGTGTTGTCACTTGCTCATGTCTAGCAATACGCTTTTCAAAAATTCCCGTTTTTTTGGGTCACCCTGAACTTTGCTGTATTTCAAACTCAATTTAAATTTATTGGCATATCTTTTTTCTCAATATCAGAAAATCTATAAATTCTTTTTGAAAAAATTCTTAAACTATAAAATATATCTGATAGGTTATTTGAGGAAAATTAACTGATTTATTTTAATTAAACGGAAACAAATATTAATTACGTTTATCCTAAAATATAGCAGAAAAGCTTCTTTTTTTAAAACAGAGGATTTGTGTTTCTGATGTTTCGAATGAAATATAAGCATCCAGATGTCTGAGAAATTAAAGTAAAGGGGACAGAACTGAAACAAATTACATGATGAATACCATTTTTATATAGTTTTTTTTTAACTATCAATTAATCTCTAAAAATTAAGAAAATATTTTAATCGATCTAATATTTTGCTGAATATTAGGTACTTTGGCTTTATAGCCTTACTTAAGTAGACGCTTGTTAAGAAAATGTTCGAAAATTAACAATACATTTTAAATTTCCTATTGGTATCTCTCTTATTTTGTGCCGTGTATGGACGCCCGTATTTACAAAAATAGACTGATAGAGAAATATTCAGAATTTTTTTTTTAAAATACTGGCGTTCGTTGAATTGTAGTGAGCTTTTCCTTTTATGATTAATGAATACAGCTTTAATTTAATAACAATATCAGTTCACTGCTAAAATCAATTTTGAAAAGATTTTAAAGTTTATAAAGGATTCTAATTAAAATTTAGAAAAAATGTAAAACAGTTCTTGTAAAAATTCACTATTCAGCTATTTTTTATTACGACACTTGTGTCCATAATATAATTAATTAATAAAATCAATTAAAAGTTTTTTTCTGATAAAAAATGTCTTAATTTTATTGCATTTTTATTTTACTATTCAGGGCAGATTTTCTACAACATGGGCTTCTGTCTGATCTAAAGCATTTTATGAATTAATTCTTTTCAAGTCTTCTTGCAATAAACATAAACATTATACAATACAAAAAAAATTCTCGAAATTTCATATAAATAAATGAATGAGATGTAACAGATTCAAAAAATATTTTTAAAAAGCTTTTAAAAAAAGAAACACTTCATGAGTAATTTAATTCATTTCGGAATATGCCTTGAAAGATTTATCAATATCCGACAATTTCAAAGAATCGTCTTGGTTTTTGCATAAGGCTCGGTTTGAAGCCAAAAAGCAAGAAATATTGACCAAAATTTCCAAGGTTCTATAAAGAATGAAAAATAATTTGGTTCCCTCATAAAATTCTTTGCTCTTTCTTTTTGATAATGAAAGAAAGATTTTAATGATAATATTGCATTTTTATTATGTTTGCGGCATTTTTTTTTCACCATGTGTCCTTCTTTTATAGCGATCTTTCGGTGGCACATTCGTTTATCTGTGTTGTCCTCAGTGACGTTGTGATATCCCCAATCCAAATTGTACCCATTGCATGTTCCGCAGTTGCCACACCCTAGAAACGTCACTGCTGACGAGATATCGATTATCATTATGTATTCCACACACCTGCGTAATTAAACTGTATTATGCTTAAATCGAACTCACTCTCGGAGAGTTTAAGCTTTCCTACATCTGTGTATAAAGTCCCAAAATAACATCGATATAGAAGAACATAGTATTTCCTATAAATTGCAGAATTATTAGCACATACTATTAAAAAATAGTGTGATAGTGTTACAGTTGTTGATTAGAATCTCGATTTGATACGAGTCGAAACAGTGTGGTTGGCCGGTCGAGAAAAACATGTCGGCTAAATCGTCTGCCACTTTGAATCGAACTGTTGGCAGCCAATAGATAAGGCTTGTGGCGGAAAACTCATTTGTTTTTTGTTCGTCTGTTCGTGTATAGATTCGATCGTTTGATAGAAAGATAGTCAAATATGGCGCCAAAACACTTGACTGCTTTTGCAAATTACTGCGGGTGGGTTAGATAGATATGAATAGACTAAGATAGTGAGACGGGCACAGACAGAGAGATCGAGACAGAGATAGAAAAGAAACACAAAGAAGAAACACAAAAAAAAAATGAAAGAGAGAATGAGTAGAAAAAACAGACTGAGATAGATAGACAGATAGATAGATAGATAGATAGATAGATAGATAGACCTATAAGAACAGATAGAGAGAGATATGAAGGAAAAGAAACTAAAATTGAGAAAAATAGAAATAAAAACAGAGAGAAATATGGTAAAGTTACGAGATAGATAGATAGATAGATAGATAGATAGATAGATAGATAGATAGATAGATAGATAGATAGATGAGAACTGAGGTAGGTAGGTAGATAGATAGATGAGAACTGAGGTAGGTAGATAGATAGATAGATGAGAACCGAGATAGATAGATAGATAGATATTAACAGATTATAATAGATAGATAGAGAGAGAGAGAGAGATATGAACAAAATGAGATAGATAAATAGATGTGAACAGAGATAGATAGATATTAACAGACTATGCTAGATAGATAAATAGACAGATAGATATTACCATGCTGAGGTAGATATGAGCAGAATGAGATAGATAGATAGATAGATAGATAGATAGATAGATAGATAGATAGATAGATAGATGTGAACTGATATAGATAGATAAATAGATAGATATTAACATGCTGAGATAGGCAGATATGAGCAGAATTATATATATATATATATATATATATATATATATATATATATAGATAGATAGATAGATAGATAGATATAGATATAGATAGCTATTAACATGTTGAGATAGACAGATATTAGCAGACTGATATATATATATATATATATATATATATATATATATATATATATATATATATATATATATGTATGAGATAGATAGATAGATAGATAGATAGATAGATAGATAGATATGAACAAACAAAATAATCGAAATCAAACACAATACTGTGCCACGTCATTGCTTTATTTTATTTTATGACCGACGAAGGCTAGCAAACCTAAGTAGTCTTTTGCAATGATGGGGCGTGTCTCATCTTTGTTCAGGTAGACCATGCTATTAAGTGTGAAGGCTTCAAAAGGGTGGCGTTTATAAGACACACATCATAAAGTAACTTAAATACAAACCCGTTCTCGACATTTCAGCTTGATAGTTTGGTTTTTGCTTTTCTTTTCTTTTCTTTTTTTAATTATTTCGTTCCAGAGGAATCTCAAGTTAGATTAAGAATGACGTTAATAACTTACTAATATTTAGTAGACCTTTTATATTATTTAGATATTCAATGGTATCTATGATTCATTGGTTACTCCTGGTTAGATACAAATCGCTTTTTACTCAATAATCTTTCCTGTCAAAAATGGTGAGTATAACAGTGACGGCGGCGAAACAAACATATTTCAAAACTGAATTGAAGCAAGACAATCACTCAAGAGACAAAGGTATCTGAGTGCCTCACATGAAAGGCTTGAACAAATAAGACTGAAATCTAAGAAACGCGGGAGTAAAGGAACTGATTCATTAAACGCTTCATTTTGCTTGGGAAACATCTTTTTCTAAATGCAGATAAATATTTTATTTGTGTGGATTATAAAACTAAGGGAAGTAATCACTCATACATTTACTAACTCAAGTTGATTTATCTCCCTTTCCACTACAGATAAGACAGGAAATATATAAATAAATACACATTGATAATTATTATATAACTACAGAAATACCCATTGATGACTTGGTTTGGAAGCTGCCAAAATTGTACTGTTTTTGAAAAATATTTATCAGAGAGTATTGATAATAAATTACTGTTAACATTCATGTACGTGATATAGCTATATCCATCCAGATAAAGCAATAGAAAGTCCAGCCGGTTTCCATCTAGAACAAAGAGGTACTTCCTCCTTGTCTATATCGTCATGGTTGCATATAACCTGATCTGCGATGTCTATATTTTGGTCTATAAATGAAGCAATCATCACATATATAACTAAATAAAAGATTTAGGAAAACAATAAACATATGCATATGAAAATATTTATTTAAGTATTACAACAAGCATCATTAATAAAAAAAAATATATACCATTATAGTAATGGCTTATTTTCAGTCTAAAATCTCCAGTTGCCTAGTTGCTGCTTTCAGTCTAGTATTCTTTCTGAGTTTCCTCTCCCTTATTTCTAGAGTTTCAGATTGTCTGGCAGCTGCAGTCCGTTCTGCATTTAATGTACGGCTTCTGCCAGCTTTTACTTGATTTTCAAACTATCCTACTGCAGAGCCCGTTGAGCATCTAATCTACGTCTTCTGCCAGCTTCTTCTTGAGTTTCAGACCGTCTTTCAGCTGCAGTACGATGGGCAACCAATCTTCTTCTTAGATCCGCTTGTTCTTGGCTTTAAGACGATCGTAAGGTTACATGCCTTTCTCTGTCTTCTTTCCTTCTCTTGCTCAGCTGATTTTCAGTTTCTTCTCATGTTTTCTCTTTTCTTTCTAACGTAACTGTCCGGGTTTCGATTCTCGGTTAAGGATCCGCACTGCTGATGAGTCCCAAATATAGGATGAATTACTTCATTATGATATATATATAACCAGCATTTATACCCGTCATTGACTGGTTTTGGAAGACGCTGCCAAATTGTACAATGTTTTTGATAGATATTGATTAGAGAATGTTGAACATATAATAAGGAATGGCTGTTAACATTCGTGTCGGTCATATAGCTATATCAATCCAGGTGAGGCAAGAGAAAGGACTGCTAGTTTTCATGTAGACCAAACAGGTGCTTCTTCCAGGCCACTATCATCATGGATGCATATAATCTTCTTGTCTGTGATTTCTTTATTGATGTCAATAAATGAAACAATTATCACATATATAACTAAATAAAAAAAAACCTATCCTACTGCAGAGCCTGTTGAGCATCAAACTTACGTCATCTGCCAGCTTCTTCTTGAGTTTCAGACCGTCTTTCTGCTGCAGTCCGATGGGCAACTAATCTTCTTAGATCCGCTTGTTCTTGGCTTTGTGGCGATCGTAAGGCTAAATGCCTTTCTGTGTCTTCTTTCCTTCTCTTTCTCGGCTGATTTTCAGTTTCTTCTGTTGTTTCTCATTTCCTTCGCCGTGATTGTTTACGTGGTCCAAAGCAGAACATTTGGGGGGGGGGCACTCTAGTAAGGTTGTAGCCTAATTATTATTTGTAATAATCAGCTAACAGAACAGACATCTGAAAGATATAGAGCTTTTTAAGTTTGAGCTTTCAAAGAGCTATTTAATACCTCTGATATTGAGCACTTTATCCCATAAATATAGCACACCTTAAGAGTATATTTTTATATATATATATATATATATATATATATATATATATATATATATATATATATACTAAAAAGTGATACACACACACACATGTATATTCTTTGATGGGTCTCAATCTGAGGACACTGCAGAGGATTCAGAAAGAGTTGGATGAGTCTAATGGTGATTACGAGGGCGTTTGGAGTGATCGCTAGTGATAGCGACGTTACGCCCCATTCATCTTACCACAAGGCTCAGATTCAACACGGAGGCCTTGATGAACTAGTGCTGCCCTGTCTTAAGTGGGTGGTTGCTGCAAGAGCCTATGTCTGGCAACAGGACTCTGCACCATGCCACACAAGCTGGAGAACACAGACATTTTCTGGGAACATATTATATTTTACATCTGGCCACCTAATTTCCCAGACTGCCACCCCCTTGATTATCATGTGTGTGTATGGGAGGGGGGTGGCAATTGACGAGAGAACAACAAAACTCCTTGTAAGATCAAAGATGGACTGAGGGCAAGGATTATGGCAGCATTCACCAATTTAAACAAGGAGACCGTCCAAAAGAGTTACAGGAAATTTCGAAGACGTTTAGGGTCCTTGGTTGAAGGCCAATGGCGATTTTAGTGACTAAATTTACTCTTTATTATTTCAAGATATTTTTGTGTAATTTTGGTAAATATCTCTCTTAAAATGAAATGTCATTGTTATTTTCATTTTTGTGAAATGTAGACGACAATTTATACATCGCATCCTCTGTTTGTATAAAAGGCAGGATGTGTGTGTGTGTGTGTGTGTGTGTGTGTGTGTGTGTGTGTGTGTGTGTGTGTGTGTGTGTGTGTAACGAATGCACGGCCGATTTGCACCAAAATTTACATGCACTTGCTCCAAGTTAGTGGGAAGGCCAAGACCGACTTTGCATTTCCCAACTCTCATCGATAGTGGAAATAATCGAGTTTTTCATGCTTCTATGCCACTTTTCATGTAGCATGCGGCCATTTTGTACTGGCCAGAGTGAGAACTAATAGCTGGTTGCACCGAATAGGCAGGAAGATTCTATTGGCCAGCATAAGAGCCAACAGCTGACTGACACGAATTTTAACTAGCATGCTAGCATGCAAAAAAAAAAAAAAAATCGATAGCTGCATTCGTCACAAGTGGTAAAAATTTAAATCTGCATGGCACTTTACTCCAATTGGCTCATTCGCTTGCTTAAACTCAACGTTGATTCTGATTCCGCAGAACTGGGCTGGGTGTGAAAAGGTATTTGTTGTTAACATTCTTTTTTCATTCGGTTTTTCCAGTTACGAGTCCTTTTTTTAAAAACTGATCGTTTTGTGTTCATTTTGTTTAGTTCTTTTTTCGTAACAGATTTAATGTTTAGTATAGAGCTTAGAAAAAAATTCGCAGTGTGAGATAGGCAAGAAGTAAGGCATGTAGCAACATCAGCATAGCAAAGGGTACCCCTTTAAAGGCAAGGAAGGCCAAAAATATTTTAAGTCAAGTGATAGCGATTGCTGTATGAGTTGTACGATTTTTGAATCAAGCACGACAACGCCGGGCCATGCTGCTAGTATATATATATATATATATTACAATAAACTTCATAAACATTATATTTTTAGTAGGTACATGTGTTTGAGTTTCCATCCCTGCTTTTTATTTTATTAAGCAGTGAAATTAATAATTCCTAATAAAGAATTTCTCCGACCACATCGACTCTTTATATCTGGTCACCTAACTCCCCAGATTGCAATCCCCTTGATTATTATGTGTGGGGCGCAGTTGAGCGACAGACCAACAGAAGATGAACTGAAGGCAAGGATTATGATTGAGACCATCCAGAAGTGTTGCAGGAGATTCCGAAGTCGTCTAGAGATCTTGGTTGAAGACAACGGCGATTTTTTACAAATAAATTTACTCTTTGGTATTTCAAGATATTTTTGTAATTTTGGTAAATATAACTTAAAATGAGATTTCAGTTCTATTTTCATTTTTGCGTAATTTAGACGACAATTCATTCATCGCACCATATATATATATATATATATATATATATATATATATATATATATATATATATATATATATTGATAAACGTGCAATCAATTTACAAATACATGAATTATTCACACAAAAACTAATGCAAAGGTTAATGATTTAAATGGCGAGACATCCATCATCGCAAACAATTCAAATAATATACAAAATCCTCCGTATCCGTTATGAATGAAATGATCCTTGTTTATATAAATTTCTGCCGTATCAGTTCTTATTTTTATTACAAGCTTTCGTCTGTTCCTACAGACATCTTCAGGTATAGAATAGATGTT